ACACTATACCCGATTCACTGTTGCATTAAAAGGAAAAACTATTATTATTATTATTATTATTATTATTATATAGCCAATTATATAGCGCCAACAGATTCCGTAATGCTTTACAATATTATGAGAGGGAGTTTTTGGCTATAAATAGGACAATTACAAGAAGACTTACAGGAACGATGGATTGAAGAGGACCCTGCTCAAACGAGCTTACAGTCTATAGGAAGTGAGGTATAAAACACATTAGGACAGGATTGATGGCTGAGTTGCATGCCAAAGTACCATGGCATGTTTTAGAGGAAAGATCTCAATTGTCTTAGTTCATAATTCATGTGGCACAAATTCCACCAATATTAAGAATGAATCAAGTGTTTCTCGAGTAAAAAAAAAAAAAAGTCAGGTCAAATATGATAATTTGTCTTAGATATTCCTCGATCCATGATATTATTTTCTTATTCTTTTTAAGTAACTTTTTGTTTCTCATTCCACTTCAGTATATCCTTTTTACTTTATCTTTTTTAATCTTTTTTTATTTTTTTTAAAAGTGATAATCCATTTTAAAGCTCAACTACAGTAATAGTTGTTTGTTCTAGTATTATATATTGACTTTAAAATTGTGATTCTATACACTATTTATGTTTAACAACTCCTTAACACCAATTTTAGCTCTCACTAATCCAATGTATACTCTCTCTCCCTCCATGTATGTATGTATGTGTGTGTGTGTGTATATATATATATATACACACACACACATACATACATGGAGGGAGAGAGAGTATACATTGGATTAGTGAGAGCTAAAATTGGTGTGTGTATATATATATATATATAGATAGATAGATAGATAGATATGTGTGTAAATACATATTCACACTGCATGAGTATGGTCTGTATTTCTCTCTTTGAAATTTTCTATCATCAGAGCTAAAGTGCCATTTACTACCATGCCATTCCTGCTGCTGTAGCATGGAGTACTAAACATACAGAACAGACACAAACTGGGAATTAAAATTGAATTGCACATTTTTGACCAAAATAGCTGAATTTGAAAAATTATACAAGTAAGCTATGCTTGCAGTTCAGCTATTTTAGTCTAAAATTTGAAATTCACTTTTAATTACCAACAATTCTCACTCCAAAGGGTTAGTCACTAAAGTGAAATTCACTTTGAATTCACCTTGAATTATCAAATATAAGGTCAAAATAGCTGAACTGGAAAAATTCTCTGTTCATCACAAGTAAGCTATAATAGTAAGAAAAAAATACACACATTTTAAAGAGGTCTAATGCTGTTACTGAAGGAAGAACAATATGCAGATTCATTATCTTGGACATCCATGATCTGAATGTTGATGTTCATGTAAAGCCATAGGGAGTAGACATGTGCAATTTGTTTGAATTTAAATTTGGACGAATTTTGGCAATTCACTGAATGTCCGAATTGCTGAAGTGCTGAATTTTGGAAGTGCCGAAGTGCTTTGGATTTCTGAAAAGTGGCAAAACAGGAGAGGGAGGGAAAATTAATGGAATGATAACAGGAATCTAACCCTACCTTTAAACCTAACCCCATCCCCTAACACTAGTAGGGTTGGGGTTGGGCTTTGGGAAGATCCGAATTTCGGATGTGCTGAACCGAAGTCCTGAATTTTTTGCCCATGCACATCCCTAATAGGGAGATTTGCTAAATCCTGTTAAACCAGACTAAGAATGTTTGAGCAGTCTATAGCTGGAGAATGAGGCATTTTTTTCAAAGATAATAAAAATATCTTGATTTGTATCACGGCTCCTGTCACATTGGCTCATCCTCCTTGAGTCATTATTAATGCAGACTTCCCATATTTATATCTAGCGACAGTTACAGTGTACACAATCACATGCCAGCCATCTCACTTGATTCTGGTGTCAATTTGAATGTTGCTTGTTCTCAACTCACCCTTATTTATTATGATGAGATATACAGTGTCATTTCCAGTGCATATTCTCCTGCATTTTTATGACATCACCTGTGCATGATGTTTAGTAGACACAACCCTAATTGCGGCAGAGTGAGTAGGAGCACACCCATATACTAAAATGGGGGGCATATTGACCCTCATAAAGTTAGGAGGAAATAGGGAGTTTAGGAAGTTGCAGGGAGCATATCTCCCACATCTTCATCTATTTTTAAATATTAGAAAGAAGGAGCTCCCTCCTTGTAATAAACTAAACGAACGAGCATCAAATTAAAATTCAATCTTCATTCGCTCTTTGTCATTTCTAATCATTTATTCGTCTTTATGACGAATGAATATCCGAAATTCCCTTGCAAATTTCAGACAATAGCGAATTCCCAAGTGTTGAATTGGGCATGCACAGAAATTTCACAGTGCTATTTAGTGTGGGCATATTAAATGTCCCACAGGGCCTTCATCTGCCTTCACTAAGATGGCAGCGCCTATGGCCGCCTAGATCTGGACAATAAAGAGTTAAGAAAAGATGAAAAGGAGGGCCTGGGTGCATTAGTGGGTCACTAGGGGATAATCAAATATAGCAAAGAGGTGTTTAAAAAAAAATGGATGCAGTACTCAAGAGGAACTGTCACTTTGGAGATTTTTGTGCTAATTGTGGTTGTGCCGATAGTGCAAATGTGCAGCACAGGTAATACAGAATACAAGTGTAGTATATATTAAAGGAACACTAAAGTGTTTTAGGAATACACATTTGTATTTCTAACGTTTTAGTGTTCCTGCCCCTAGGTCTGGTGTAATATATTATTTTTGTTTTTTATTGAATATTTTACTAATGATCCAATGTTTCAAAAAAAACAAAACAACCTTTTGCAATATTTCTCATGATGTTACAATGTAAATCTTTTTACTCACGACACAATGGTTTTCACATCCTATTTGCAATAGACATAGGCTGATAACTTGAGCGAATTTAAATCCCTCCTAGGCTTTTAAAATCCTTAAAGAATCTGCTATTGTAACATATTGCTACCTTCTCTTCAAAGGTGAAAGGTCACTGTTATTGACATAATCCTTTGGACACTTCAAAAGATGAAGATTAGTGGAGATGCTTAGAACTAATGCCCCAGAGATGATTATTTGTCAAAAAGTTGATAATATTGATGGCAGAGGAAGAGAAGTGTTATTTATCTAATACAAATCAGAATCCAGTCAGTCAAATGAAAAGAAGCACAACCACAGGGCACAATAATTGACCTAACACTATCACTAATAATTATAGTGTACACCAAAAACAAATCTTAGAACATTGGATTGATGGATAGATGGATGGAGGGATGGACAGGTTGGTTTGGATAAAAACTGTAATAAAATTACATACTACAACATATTTTTGGAAAACAAACATATACTTCGATGTCAGGCAATGCAGCTAGGACCCCTGAGATAGTATTTTATAGAAATACTTGTAGAATGACTGATTTTCTTTACATGTGAATTGATAAGGGTTCATACCATCTGATGTTTTAGCAGGTAGGATGAAACCAGACTGGGTGATAGATCATTTTGATGAAAACTTTCATCAGTAACATTATACACTAAAATACAATTCAGAGAAATCTAGACTTTATGATAACTAGGTATTTTCATGTATTGCAGTTTCTTACTACTTGCCCATGGGGTGATATGTTTTATAAATCTGTGGACATATTTTATGTACTATTTTAATTAGCTAAGTGATATTATTTAGTTTTTTCACATGTAATGTTATAGTAATTTTGTCTCTAAAATTAACAGGGACTTGTCATCAATAAAAATACTAGACTTGGAAAATTGTTTTGTTACAAAGTGCTTGTAACAGATTGAGGAAAATGAATCAGATGAAGCAAAAAGGTGGGAAAATGCGCCTGTCCGTGTAATTCCAGAATTTTTATATATATATATATATAAAATGCCAAAATACCAGATTATTGCAGCCATAATACGGCTAATCCAATCTACGCGTGTGTGTGTGTGTGTGTATATATATATATATATATATATATATATATATATATATATATATATATATATATATATATATATATATATATATAGTGTTCAACTAGAGCAGGGGTCTTCAAACTCCGGCCCCCCAGATCTTGCTGAACTACAACTCCCATGATTCTCTGGCTATCTATGTAATTCACAGAATCATGGGAGTTGTAGTTCAGCAACATCTGGGGGGGGGGGGGCGCAGTTTGAGGACCCCTGAACTAGAGATTGAGGCCATATTAGTCTATTGATGTAGATGTTAAAAACAGATAAAATGTGTATCTTGTAATACCTTTTTTATTGGACTAAAATTATTTTTTAATAATATGAACCTCCCTTTCTCAAGTCTAAAGCATTTCTGAGCAAGACTACATATAGAATTCAAAGTTGAGTTGTGATACAAGGGTTAAAGCGTTATGAGTGCAGATACCTTGTTTCAGACTTACCTTGGCCCCGGCAGGCAGTTGCCTGACCTCTGTTCCAGTCCCCAGCGGGTGTGACGTTCTTAGGAATGTCGGCCGCTGAGGTTCGGGCTTTTATAAGAAACTTACCTTTGCCCACATCAAATATGGCGCCAAAGTGCGTTCAATGTCACGTCATAGATGCGCATGCACCTTTTGGTGTCAGAGATGGCCAATTACAGCCTAAGGAGGGCTATTTAAACCTAAATTAACTTTTTATCAGTGCCCTGTCAGGGTTTTCAGTAGCTGGTTATCCAAGAGGTGTGTTCCTGATTGTGTTTTTTCTGATATTTGACTTTGACTTAGTTTTGACTTCCTTGATTTCTGGTATCCTTGACTTTTGGCTTTCTCCATCGTTGTGGCTCTTTCTGTGTCCCTGACAAGTATTTTGACTATTCTCAGGTACTTTAAGTCCAGCCATTCTAAGGTCTGGTTAAACGTTATCCTTAGTCCTAGGTGTGATACGATTCTGCGTGCTGGATCAACAGTAATCCAGACAGTATGCCCCTTCATGGCAATGGTGCTCCCTGATGACAGTGGCCTCTTTCAACAGGATAATACACCCTGCAACACTGAAAATACTGTTCAGGAATGGTTGAGGAACACGACAAAGAGCTCAAGGTGTTGCCTTGGCCTCTAAATTCCCCAGATTTCAATCAGACTGAGTATCTATGTGATATGCTGGAACAACAAATCCGATCCATAGAGGTCCCACCTCATAACTTGCAGGACCTAAAGGATCTGCTGCTAATGTGTTGATGCCAGATCCCACAAGACATATTCAGAGGTCTTATGGAGTCTGTGCCTCAACACATTAGAGCTGTTTTGGCAGCATGAGGGGTATCTACACTGTATTAAGCAGGTGGTTTATATGTTGTGGCTGATAGGTGTATTTCTTGCAGTACACTGATTTAGCGATGATTTTTTTTTTTTTTTTTGTGCCTTTTTGGTTTGTCTGATTTGTTTTCCTGTATCTTTTTTTAACAAAATTTGAACAAGCTACACCGCCATAGGGCTATAATTTGATCTTCTCAAATTTTTTTGTTTTTTTCCTCAGTATGGTCAAAACTATTTTTTTTTTCACTGTGCACAGTTGTAATAAATACAAAATTAAATACATTTTTAAATGATTACTTCAAGCATCAAAGAGGCTGTGTGTGCAATGTTTCCGTAGGATTTTCAGCACATACAGAGACATTTAAGACATTTAGGCTAAAGTAGCTGCTGGAAGTTTAGATCTATCTCTAGCAGCTTTACTAGCTAATCCAGAATGAGAGTTCTGGGCAGGCAGTGGCGTAGTGTGGGTTGTCAGCACCGGGGGCAAGGCAAGTAATTTGCGCCCCCTAACCCGTGGATTTTAGCACTCG